AATAGCTAAGCCCAACTGCACTGATCATTGTGGAGATGTAAGTATCCCCTTCCCTTTCGGCACAAGGGAAGGTTGTTACCTTAGTGAAACATTCTTAGTCACATGTAATAACACTCACTATCATCCTCCTAAACCATTCTTGACAAACTCAAACATAGAAATCAAAAACATATCCCTGGAGGGTCAATTGACTGTGTTGCAATTCATTGCGAAAGCCTGTTATGCTAGGAATGGCACCAGAGTACACTATAACGACCCCTTTATAACCTTCCAAGAATTCACAGTCAATAATACCGCCAATAAGTTCACTGTTGTTGGTTGTGATACTTATGCTTTTGTATACGGGGAATGGATTAACCAGAATAATTACGAGACAGGGTGCACTTCCCGGTGTTTCAGCAAGGATAATCTGGATGACGGGTCATGTTCCGGTGTAGGCTGTTGCCAGACGTCTATCCCAAAAGGCGTGAGGGAAGTTAATTTGACGTTGAAGAGCTATGATAATTTCACAAAGAGCTATGATGATAATCGCTCTACCGTCTGGGACTTCGATAATTGCAGCTATGCATTTCTTGCCGAGGAAAGTGCATTCACTTTTTCTCCAAATAAACTTTCAAGTCTGATGAATGTAGAGAAGCTTCCCATGGTGGTTGACTGGGCAATTGACAGAGGAACATGTGAGGAGTCTCAGAAGAACATGTCTAGTTATGCATGTAAAAGCACTAATTCCAACTGTAATGAAACTGATAATGGGTATCGTTGTTATTGTTCAGAGGGTTATGAAGGAAATCCATACCTCAGTGACAGTGATGGTTGTAAAGGTATTGAAGTTCGATTTCCTGTGTATTATCTAGAAATACATCATATCACTCTCTCATTGAATTGTTTAGCCACGTGTCTTTTAAGATTTTAAATTCACTTTTTCTTTCCCTTAAGATTTTAACTTCGCTTTCTTTCATATTGTTATTTTTGTTATGCAGATATTGATGAATGTAAAAATTCGAGTCTCAACAAATGTGAAAAGGACCGATATTGTCAAAATGAAGAAGGGACTTATAGGTGTTTTTGCCCAAAAGGTTACGATGGAGATGGGAGGGTAGATGGACAAGGTTGCATTCGTGGTCAATCACTAATATTCAAACTTGTTGCAAGTTAGCACCACTGTTCCATGGGCATAGCTTAGCTCTTTTTGTTAAGAATTGAGATTCCATCTTAAAAGGTCAATTTTGTTAGGAGGAGTAGCTCAAACCTTTATAAATTGGTCTATGTTTTCATCTTTATTCGATGTGGGATTCTATCCCTTAACATGCCCCGCAAGATGGTGGCTCGTTTGAGCAGACCAATCTTGAAATCCCTATGCTCACTTTTTGGAGTCTTAACCGGATCGAATTACTCGTTAGAACTTAATAGGCTCTGATACCATGTTAAGAATTGGGGTTGCATATTAAAATGTCAACCTTATTAAAATGAGTAGCCCAACTCTTTATAAATTGGTCTATGTTTTCATCTTTATTCAATGTGGGATTCTTTCCCTTAACATGCCTCTTCAAGATGGTGGCTCATTTGCTCACTTTTAGAGTTTTAATCGGATCGAATTGCTCGTTGGAGCTAAATGAGCTCTGATACCATGTTAAGAATTGAGGTTCCATCTTAAAAGGTCAACCTTATTAAGAGGAGTAGCCCAACTCTTTATAAATTGGTCTATATTTTCATATTTATTCGATGTGAGATTCTTTCCCTTAACACTTTTCTCCCCTCCCCACCCCCACCCCCACCCCACCCCACCCCCTCCATTCGTTACGTTTCACCCCGGATTTAGAATTATCTCCGACGATGATCCATGTTTCAAGCTGGGTGATTTTACAAAACAAGTCTTCCACTGAAAGTACACTCCCTAAGTCTGTCTTCATACTCGGATTGGATGTCTATTTTGATACTGATTATA